CAAATAGTCAACATATTGGGTTTATCTCTATGAGATTTATCCTGCTTGTGATATTAGATATCAAAACACATTTTATTTCGGCCCAAAGCCCAACAATAATTTATTTTAATCAAAACAAATTTTGTTTAATTGAATATTTAATTCAAGAAATTTTAGGGTATATTTTGGGGCGTTACATTTCTCCCCCCCCTTAAAGGAATTTCGTCCTCGAAATTGTTCTAAAGCTCAACGTTCAACATTTTGTTGTGATCGCACTTAATCATAATCGCGTCATGTTCATTCAGTTAAATCATAATCACGTCATTATCCACATGGATAGTTATTCTCAAACTGTCGATGTTACGAAACTCGTTCTTTCTTCAAGAGATTAACAATCTTTGATTAAGCAAAACATTCAGTGATCCTTCAATGTCAACAACTAAGGTTTCTTTGCAATGTATACGGTTGTATATTTGACATACTCGCACATAACTTTGTTTATTCACAATTCCCAATTGTACAACGTTGATTAATGATATTTCTTCTTTTGATTGAAAGTCCTTCAGTAGCCTTTGCAGTTTCAAATTATCAAGTTCGCGATAGATGTAGTGGGAGATTTTTTTTTTTGGAGTTGTCTTCAATTCACACATCATAACGTAAATTTCACTTTGAGATATCTTCGTATCGTTCACATAGTTCAACAATGATTCACAATTACATCAAAGGTCTTTTAGTGGTCCAAGATTTTCAGGATATAGGATTTGTCATCATTTAGGAGGAAATACTGTCGATCGGTTGTACAGTCGTAGTTCGTCATTCATCGACCTTATGTCGAAACATTTCTTCATTCATCTTCATGGTAGCTCTCATTTATCGTTTTTAATGAGTATTCGTACTCATAAGTGATGACGTTCGAGTAGCGTTTCATGTACAATTTGTCGTATTCAAACTTCTTCTATTAATTTGAAAACATATCTAGATATGATAGAGACAGATTTGATTGTAGCACTATGGCTAATCTCTTTCGAGGAAAAAGATAATATCTTCAGTACGTGATTCAATTCATGAATTCATAGAGTGAGGAATCTTTACTAGTTCTTATACCAACATCGCATATAGGTTCGGGATCTTCACTTGAATGATTCAACATGTTTTTGTGACGCCATTTCTTCTCTGGTTGTCGCACATACATTTCCTTGCTAGGATTCTAACAATATCATCGATAATAATCTTCAGAGATAGCGTAATCGTATTGATCGTTTTGTAGTCCACAAAGAGAGGTTTAACATAATGTTTAAGTCAGGGTGGTTTTAATATTGTGATCGAGTCACGTATTCAATAGGGTATAGTTTCCAAAGATCGATATCATGGTATCACCGAGTATTGTTTTGGTTCCAATGAAGAATCATGGTTTTAGTATTTTGATACAAAGAATGGAATTCAATCTTTTCAAGATTGATCAAGCGAAATGTTTTCAAGGGTGTAGTTAACACAACAAGTTTGAGTATTTCAAGGATATGAGTCACAAGATACAAAGATAGTGTTTGCAAATTATCGTTATTAATCGTAAGTTTTCTTCCTTCAATGTTTCACTATTTGGAAGTTACTCAAGAGGTCGTTGTCTTAGGAAATAGCCGTTTTGACTTTTCGTCTCGGATTTGAATGTTTTTCCAAGACAGTGAATCTGACTGTTCAAGGGTCTCAATACGTCATATCGTTAGCAGACTATAATATTAGCGAGTACGTTCTCGTCTCTAGCTATATTGAATACATTTTACTGTACGTATTTTGGCTAGTGACAATTACCTCTCCATAAATGGTCAAATTTCATAGACTATATATATTATGGAAAGAGAATCATTCTCACATTATGGAAGGAACTTCCCGAACACTTCCTTACACCATAAGATTCATTGGTATACTTGGCAGTCATTCTCTTGGTAGAAATCCAAAGTTTATGGCTACTGCGATAGATTTAGGAAGAGAATTGAATAGGCGAAAGATTAAACTTGCCTATGGAGGAGGTAGTGTTGGCCTTCAAGGAGATGTTGCTTCAACAGTTTTTACTAATGGTGGTCTCGTTAGAGGTTTCATTCCTGGGTACATAGCAACACGAGGCGTCTATGGACCTACGTATGGTGTAGAGCATACAGTTTCTAGCAACTATTACAAGTACTTCGAGATGAATCATGCCGTGGAAGCTTTCATTGTTCTTCCCGGAGGAGTTGACACTATGGAAGGTTTGTTCACTTTGATCTCGTGGGCTTCTGAAGGGTTACAAAATAGACCCATTGGTCTTTTGAACATTGAGGGTTATTTTAATAACCTAATCAAATTTCTAGACGAAGCGGTGAGGCAGAACTTCATGGCTTCTAGTCAAAGAAAACTTTTCATTTCTTCTTTCTTTGTTGGTGAGCTTTTAGACAAGCTAGAGTTTGCTAAAGCTTTTCCAGCTTTTGGGGCTAATTATGACGAGTTCGCAAATCCCGGGGGATTAGATTTGGAGTTACATTTATAATATTACTTCATGTAATCCCAGTTGTATTCGTGTTGGAATGATATTATCATTAAATATTAATTTATGTTGTATGGACAGTACGAGCTACAATTCTTCAGTCTTTCACTGTTGGTGTCACTGTTTCACATCTTGTTTTTGTATCATCACCACGTCGCAATCTTTCACGTTGATAGGATATCCGAACGAGTCAGCTATCTTATTGATTTGTCTTGTCAACATCACTTTACTTCATTTATTCAATCAGATTACATTGACGTTTCCGATGATAAGTAATTAGGTCATTAATCGTTTCATAACAAGGCATCAGTTCATTCAACAAGATTGAGCGGTCTAAAGCTTCTAACAAGCAAGTTATTTGAATTTGATCGAATAAGTCGGTAGTTCATAGAAAAGGATAGAAATTCTCGATCGTCAGTTTGTTCAAATTTCCTAACAAGGATTTGTGAGTATCCTGACCGTAAGTCAATCTTAGAGAATACAATGGATTCTCTAAGCTGATCAAATAAGTCATGATACAAGGTAAAGGATAACAAATTGTTCAACTGACAGTAGTTGATATAAAGTCTTATTGATTCGTGTATGAACAAACAGGTATTCTCCCAAGGAGGAAACACTTGATCAGATGATTCTTTGTCGGGAAGTCATTGACGGAAACACGTTCAATACAGAGTTACAAATATTGGTCCTTTTATAGGATCAAGATTGACAGAGAAATCAATTTCTCGAAACGGTGAGATAATTGGAAATTCATATCAAAGAGGTGTCATACGTTTGATACGTTTCTTCAGTTCAGATCTTTCTTTCGCGTATCACACGAAAAGACTTTACACTCCTTTTGGTTGAGAGGTTTGCATACATCAATTCGAGATGAACTCGGTCGGTTTAGAAATTAGCTTTGCTTTCACCTATATAAGGTTTCCATCATCGATCTTCAGTTGAAGAATTCTTCGTCAAGAGTTGTCCATACCAACATCATTCGATCAGCCAATATATACTAAGGAAAATTGTCAAATTCCTTGTATGGTATTTCAACGAAGTTTTGCAAGGAGTTGTTGCTTAACGAACGATTTCGATTCTTAAGATATAATCGCATATTTGCATCTTAATGAGTTAGACATCAGAATGGGATACTTTAGATAACAGAGTTTATTGATTCTAAACGTTCGTGCTTGAATCAGCGATTAGATCGTCTTGAGTCCACATGAGTATCTTTGACATCGGCTTCATAGATGTTTCTCAACAATTATCGTTTCTTCATAGTCGTCTCACTTTCATACGATTTTGCGATGCAGATTAGTTTCGTCCTTCGCGATGCGATGTGTACGTTAATAACAGATCAGAGGGTCATATATTTTTCGTTCATTATTTCGTCTCTTCACTGAGTAAGAAAGTTCTACTAGAGTCTATGCTCGATATGATTTGAGAACTAATCAATTCTTATCTAATGAGAATTTTAACAAGTCAATTTGTATCTAGTAAATTCTCATACCTTTCCTGGAGCAGAGGGATGCGAGAGTCATGGATGTGATTGACAATGTTTTTTTTAAAAAAAATCATTTTTTGATCCGAAGATCGGGTTTAAAACCATTTGCTCTGATACCAAATTGTAACACCCTAATCCGTCCAGGTCTGCAGCCCCTTTCGGACTAAAGTATTAACTTGGTAATCGTAAAATTTAAAACTTTTCAAACACTTTTATTTATCATAATAATATTTTTTCATATCACAAACAGTACAGAGTTTTCAATATTTCGGAAGCTTAACAAATCATAATCACAAACATAATTTATTTATATTCTTTAATTCAAAACCATCACATCCATTCCGACAATCTCGCCTCCGTCTGCCTCCAGGATCACGTTACATCATTCTATTGACCTGCGTGTAGTAAATAAAACACACTACACGCTCAGCGGTAAAGCTGAGTAAGCATATCTAATGCGTCGAACATCCACATAAATTGAATCTCAATTCATAATCAACCATTTGATATCATGCACAGAATGTTCAGTTCATATATTCAATAATCAATATTCAATTTTCAACATTCATTATTCAATCATCCAACATGTATATTCATCATTTGTCATTCAACAGTATCCTTAAACTATTCTTAGTCTAAGGCCAATCACTTTAATATTTGTCAACCCTTAAATGAATTCTAGTTTAACTAATTAAACTATATTCCAGTATACAGAGTACTCCTAATAATCCTTAAGCTAGGCCTAGTTTAAGATAAAAGGGTTTTGGAAATCTTAAACTTACCTTCACTTAAGGCCAACCAAAAACCGACAGCGTAGTGTTCACTGTTGGGTGGGTGGTA